TTTTCAAATCAATTTGATTTTAATGTCATAAAATCAATTCCTAGATGATAAATGAACTGTGTATCTAATGGGAAATAATGTCACAATGATAAAACAAATTATATTTCATAGTTTTCCATGAGGACTGCTTGTTGTTTTCATTGAAGAGACTTTTTCTGTCAGGCAATGGCATCACATACCTGTAATCCCAGCACTCTGGGAGGATTACAAGTTCAAGTCCAGAATGAATGATTAAAAAAAAAAGTCTGGAAATATTGCTCAGTGCCAAGGCCCTGGGTTCAGTTTCCAATTGCAAGTGGAGGGGAGGATAGATACCAAATTTTCTTCAAAACAATTACACCTTCCCTTCTGTGGCTCTCTTTTCCAGAACATTAGAGCAAACTATTAAGAAATAACTTTAAATAGTCTAACAAATTCTTCAAGTTTTATTTCCTGTTAAAATTTCCTATTTGTGAAATAGTCTACTGGACTGTAAGAACTGTGGCTCTTATTTGCAAGATGACTCTTCTGCCATTTCTTTTACAATAATCTCCCTTTGGTTTAATACATGGAATTATCTGGAATCTTGTACGGGGAGTCAGGAAGCTGAGTGCCCTGTTGTTACAATTCTGGTGAGTCTGAAGGGGAGGCTAAAGGCCCTTGAACAGGGGGAAGCTAAAAACAGGAACAAGGAACAGGTTAAGATGAGAAACCAAGGGGACCAGGCACAAAGCTTTGTAATTGGCAGTGGGAGGCAGAGACTTGTCTCCAATGTGAAGGAATTTAGAGGGGTTATTCTATTCTCTTGTCAAGGTCCTCATTATTGGAAGTAAAGTAAACCTCTCCGAAGCTTATTTGCTTTATATTTGACCCTAAGTTCCTCCAGCTGGACAATTTCTTTAGTGTATAGGATAATTGAGTTAAAAAAAAAAAACAAACCCAAGGCTTCCTGACACACAGGATATTATATTCTTTTACCTTGATTGTAAGCCATGAAGGCTTCTGGAAAGTGATGCAGAGCTCACCCCCACCCCCAAAAGATCCCAGATAGACAGACATTCTACAGAAGACAAGTATCTATACCTATACAGATATATCTATATCTATATATCTATAGATATATAGATGTCTTCCACAAAATGTCAACATTACTAGGACGAGAAAGGTAACTTTGGTGATGTTGAAGTTAGTATCACAACCAAAGAATAAATGCAAGTATCTCCAAGTTGCAGATACAATTAAAAAATCATTTGAAAGAACATTTATTCACCGAAAGTGAGCTGTCTACATATGCAATAAAGGATGTTGATGAATGAAGTTATTCTATCCTGAGGAACAATACTCGCAGAGTTATGCTCTTGAAATAGAAATCTAATCCTGTTTGCCAGTTCTTTCTATGTGCAATGTATGAACAGGTTGTGCTTTCTGGGCTTTCCCATGCTGCTCCTGGGAAGGGTCCTGCTACATCCACAGCATAGAAAAGCGAGCTTTCATATCACAGTGGTGAAGTCCTAGGCTTTCTGTTGGTTTTCAACTTCTACTGTCCATTTATTTCCTCTTGGAATCTGCATATTACAATGAAAACATTCTGGGCACAGATTTTGCTGAGAAGAATTACAACGTCCAACATTAAAAAATATATGGGAAATGTTTTTAAGAGGAAGACTGGGCTCAGCTTCTGGATCCTGCTCGACTAGGCTCAAGAAGGCCATGTGAATCATCTCCCCACTGAAACATTAACACCCGCTGATGAGAAACAAAGTCCCATTGGAACTGGCTGCAGATTTTAGCATTAACAAAATTGGAGCCAGCTCACTTCAGGACAAAGCCTAAAGGACGAGTGCACCATGAATTCATCCATGTCAACCTCCATGCTTAAAGGGGCTGCTGAGGGAAGAAGTGTGTGGGCTCTGACCAGGAGGTTTCTGTTCTTCAGCTCTAATTATTCCAGTGTGTTTTCTTTGGTGGGAACATTTCCATTCAGACGAAGGAGGGGTTCAGATACCTTGGACTGGGATTTTGTTTTACTGTCATCGTAAAGGGACTGGGAATCAAACTTTCAAAAATTACAAGTGAGTGGAGTCTTAAAGAGATATCGGTTAGTTTTCTCTCCTTATTCGTGGAATAAAATTGACTCTCTTTGGTGGAAGGGGTTGGATGGGGTGTTTTGCCATGGTGGGTCGCAGAAGACATGCAGACCCTGGTTTAAGAAGCACTTGGAAGTTACAGGCAATAAAGCATGGGTACATTTGCAGAAGAAAAATAAGCTTTGGTAAGATTCTGGTATTGGGTTTGGGCAAAGCCTTCCAAGAATGTGAGGCGCTGTGACTGGCCACACTGGTCCCAGAGGGAAAGGGTGTCCCAGTTTATTTTTAATTTTTAAATGTTAATGTAATGCAAGCAAATATTAATACAGAAAATATAAAAACAGCTCTCTGGAAAACATTTTTCATAACAAAAATAGAGAACAACAATGGTAAATACACTTTGTATCATGATCTTAAAATAACATATTTTCAGTTGTGTGTCCCTGTTTAAAGGTTCCCAGTGGAAGGGCCACCTTGGGACGCTAATGCTTGTGCACGAAGGCCACCGACCAAAACACGGAAGCCTGCCCACATGCACGGAGGGCGCCTGGGAGGGACCGAGGACGTCCTGTCCTCTACCAAGGAGGTAGCCCCTTAGTGTCTGCATGTGTCCGTGGCATCAGGCTGTTTGTCTGGGGCTGAATCACTAACATCCTAGCCAGAAGGTTAGCAAAGCCATGTGCAGGTACAACGATGTGGTGACCCTCGTGTTTTTACTCGATTTGATAAAGGTAGGTGTGATTGGCATCTGGGACTTCTTCAGCAAGGGGGTTTGAATAAGACGCTAGGTTTTGATCTATGGTTTTTAAAAGGACTTTGTACAGAGAGTGACATGTGGGCAGGGAGAGCAAAACCTGGTCCCTAGTGATGTTTGGTAAAATATGGCGAATAGGTGAATGAGACACTGGTCTGCTTGACACAGCAGTGAGGACACGTGTTCTGTCTGCAGGACACGTGGTGGTGGTCAATCCTTACTGATATCAGAGCTCCGCGTCTTAAGCTACGAAGACAGAAGCTTCCCCAAAACTTTTATGCCTCAGAAATTTGTTTTCTCTTTGTTTTATGAATTTGTAAACTTCATATGATATGAATCTTCCTTATTCCTTCATAGAAGGTAAGTTTGGGGGGCATTTTCCTTTTCCTTTTATAAACACCAAAAAGATGTTTGGAGCATAAATACTTTAGAGTTCAACAAACCTTTTAAGCCAATTGCTGCTTTTTTTGCTCTAAAACATGCACACTCCTTTACTGTACCTGGATAGCACAGGACAAGAAAAGGAAAAGACTCCTGACAGATCTTTTTTTTTTTTTTTTTAAATTCATCTAGTAAAGACAAAGGACTCAAACACTAACCCAAAGGATACCCAGAGGTGGCATCTGAGTTAATGGTTTCTTCATCTGGCAGATCTTATATGGTTGAAAATAAAGACCGACAGTGAAATTGTTTGCCTTGTAGACCAGTTCTCTCCCAGGTTTTATGTGTGTGTGAACCACTTGGAGGCCTTATTAAAAAGCAGATTCTGGTTCAGTAGGTTTGGTCTGAGCCTCAGACTCCGCAGTCCTCACTAGCACTCCAATGACATTAACGGTGCCCATTCCTGGGCCACACTTTGAGTAGCAAAGGGCAAGACAACTTCCCAGTCTACGTGAGACCCACACTCATCTGTCTGCTTGAGTGGATGATAGAGGCACCTTTAGATGACCCATGAATGAGAGTCCAGGAAAGATGATTTAATGACCTGAAAGTCAGAGTATGGCACAAAATAAACTGTGAGGTTAAAGAGTACATGAAATAATATTCCATTAATCACGAAAAGGGTACCTAGCGTAGCCGTGGCGTAGCACACAGATTGGAAGAACAGCATCTCACGGCAGGTCAGCTGTACTTCCCTGGGTGTCGCAGACATCACGGTGAGTGGAATGGGGACTGTCACAACTCGGCCAGGATGCTGCTGAGATGTGCTTACACGGTAAATGCTCTTTACCAGCAGCAAAAGACAAGTTAACCAGGTGAGGAGGGTGTAGAATTCATTGACTCTCATGCCTGTGGCTCCTTGAGGGGAAAAGAATCCGTTCTGCTTAAAAAATGATTAAAAATAGGCAGAGAGGGCCAGGGCTTTAGCTCAGTGGTTCCACCGCCTGCCTTGCAAACGCAAGGACCAGCGTTTGATCCGCGGTACACCACCCGCCAGATGGCGGATAGATGTGATTGTAGATGCGTATTTACAAAGCTACTCCACATAAACTGTCTTCCTCGGAAAGTATTTCTGTTTTTTTTTCCCTCAAAGAATTAAAATACACTAAAAAAAAGAAAGAAAGACTGATTTGTACAAGGCTGCTGAGCTGTGAAGTGTGCTGAGGAAGGCTGCTTCAGGGCAGGACTTAGGTCTGGGCCCTACAAACCTCGGAGTGCCCTAACGTCACACCCCTATAACGCTGATCAGACCCTGCTCAGCAAGGATAACTGCACGTACTGAGATGCTTGCAGCATGTGGATGAAAATTAAAAAAAAAAAAAAA